CATCACTGACATCTTTCTCGGCATCCAGTAACTAATTATTGGATTGCATTCGGTGGACTTCAAACTGAAAACCTCGCATAATGTACGTACAAATTCCGTGTACGTCATGTTTTGCCTAACACGTACACAACGACCAAACCAGCCTTCCCATGGTTCAAATTTTCATTCTTCTTCTTTGCATTTCTGTTGGTGTCGGATCCCGCACCACAGGTTCAGGACCAACCAAAGATTGCCACGTAGTCAAGGATAAAGCCCAGTAGACCCACAAGTCAAAAGAACAGTCGAAGTGGTTATCACCATGAGGAGAATTCGAAGTGATTTCACTTAGATATGAGTCCGACATCAAAGTCACAGTTAATTCGGTTCAAGGATATTTGGGCCGAAAGGCGAGGCCCATGAAGATCAGAGTCAACTCAAATTCAAACGTTAAGCATTAAAGTCAAAGATCAAAACTGACGCATTTAAGAGAGAATAATTGTATTTAATTAGCCATTTAAATGTCGTTTTTCTATGTATAAATATAAAGGCCAATGACCATGTAAAGGGGATCTTTTTCTTCGAAGCAAGAAATACTATAGCAATTTTTGTAGCAATTCATAAGCTTTTTACATTCTTATTTTTTGTCCCTCAAGAATAATCTTCCCTATTAATAAAAATACTTGAGTGTGTGAATCCGACATCCACATTTTGGCGCCGTCTGTGGGGACAGAGGATTCTTGAGTGGTCAGATTTTTCTTTACTACATTCCCGAGATAAGCAGCAATGTCCGAAGGAGACGCCGTTGAGACATCATTGGCCGAAACCCTCAAAGCTATGCAGCAAACCATGTCGGACATATCACAAAAGTTCTCGGATGTGGAAAAGGCTGTCGATACGTTGCAAACATCCCAGGTATCTCTTAGTCAAAACGTCAATACTATACAAACTCGTGTTCGCTCTTTAAGTGCAGGAAATCCTGTGGGAATCCGAAGGAGGATACTCAACTCGCCAAGTTCCATTGCGCGAAATGAAACCAGCGGACAAACAACTCCTGGTACTACTAATAATGTAGTTCAGCCATTGGATGGAGAGGCACAGCTCAAAGATGAAGCTCAACTTGCAGATCAATACGAGCAGGAAAACCTCGACCAGTTCGAGACTATGAGGAACGTTAGCCAAGAACTAAAAGAAATGAAGTCAAAGTTCCATCAGGCTACAAGTTCAGAGCCGGATATCAATCGAGTCATTGAAGAAGCTAGGCGAACACCTTTCATCTCGCGAATTGCGAGTTTGAGAATCAAAGATTCCCGGAAGCTCAAGTTGGACCCTTACAGCGGATTGGAGGATCCAAAGAGCTATCTCGCAGCTTTTCTGATCGCTGCTGGAAGAATCGAATTAGATGAAGCTGATGAGGATGCAGGTTACTGCAAGCTTTTTTCGGAAAATCTATGCGGCCAAGCTTTAATGTGGTTCACCCAATTAGAGCTGGGTTCGATCAGCAATTTCGACGAGCTATCAGCTGTATTCTTAAAGCAATATTCCATCCTTATGGATAAAAGCGTTTCGGATGCCGATCTTTGGAACTTATCACAAGGATCAAATGAATCACTTCGAATTTTCATCACCAAGTTCAAAGGAGTGCTGTCAAAGGTCCCAAGAATCTCACAACAATCAGCTTTATCTGCCTTACGAAAAGGATTGCGACATGATTGAAGATTTAAAGAAGATTTAATACTTCATAAACCAGACACAATTCAGGATGCACTCTTCCGCGCAAACAACTGGATGGAGGTAGAGGACAAAAAAGAAAATTTTGCCAAATGAAATAAGCAAGAGAAGCCGGCAATCACCGTCCCTACCAAGAAGTTCGAACCCAGGGAGAACAAAGGACCAAAGAAATTTGGGTCGCAACCCTTCAACAGTACCGTCGGAAAGCAATTCCAAGGGAAAGGAAGATCAAACACTTGGGTCCGTGATGAAAGTTTATATTGCGACATTCATAAAGTGACCGGACATTTAACCAAGGATTGTAGCGTTCTTAAAAGGCACCTCGCAGAGCTTTGGGCCAGTGGAGATCTTTCCAAATTCGATATAAAATATTTTGTGAAGGAATACCACGAAGCAAAGGAAAATTCCAAAGATCAAAATTCCAAAAGACCAAGGTTAACCAACGAGGAAGAACCAAGGAATTCTAAGGGTAAGATCAATGTTATTCTAGGAGGTTCCAAATTTTGTCGAGATTCAATAAGTTCCATCAAGAAACATAGACGAAATGTCCTACTCAAAGCAAGCTTGAGCGAAGAAGTCGATTTTCAAGGTGCATCAATATCATTTAATGAAGAAGAAACGCGGCACCTCGAAAGACCTCATGATGATGCTCTAGTCATTACCCTTGACGTTGCAGAAAAAAGATGATGTAGTAATTGAAGTGGTATTGGAAGAAGACAAACCGGACCGGAAAATTCGAATTGGGGCAACTTTGACTAGCCAAATAAAAGAAGCTTTGATCGAACTTTTGAGAAAAAAACATAACATCATTCGCATGGTCAGCGGCAGATATGTCCGGCATAGATCCAAGCATAATTTGTCCTATTCGCGGTGGTGACTTCGGTTCGGAAGCTGCGCCCATATTTTCAATCCCATCCGGTTGAAGTATTAACCAACCAGCCACTCCGAACAATACTTCATAGTCTAAGTCAGTCCGGACGTTTGGCGAAATGGGCGGTGGAATTAAGCGAGTACGATATAGAATTCAAAAGCCGGATCAGTATGAAGGCTCAAGTTTTAGCAGACTTCTTGACTGAGCTACCAATACCTGGAACGATAGAGCAACCGGAGAACCAAACTTGGAAATTACATGTAGATGGGTCTTCAACAAAGCAAGGATCCGGAGTGGGAATCAAGTCGGAGTCTCCAACATCAGAAATTCTAGAACAGTCATTCCGATTGTTATTCAATGCCTCCAACAACGAGGCAGAATACGAAGCCCTGATTGCCGGACTTCGATTGGCACAAGGAGTTGGAGCTAAGGAAATATTGGCTTATTGTGATTCGCAGTTAGTAGTTAACCAGTTTAATAGAGACTATGAAGCCAAGGACTCAAGAATGGAAGCGTACCTCGAAGTGGTGAAGGATCTATCTAAACATTTCTCGAAATTCGAATTAATCCGCATACCTCGGGGGGAGAATACAACTGCGGACGCACTTGCCGCATTTGCGTCAACATCAGATCCTGAGTTGAAAAGAGTTATTCCAGTGGAATGCATTTCGGAGCGAAGCATTCAAGACAACAAAGAAACCCTCGTCGTTACAAGGTCTCGAGCAGCGGCACGTGACCGTGGCGAACCAGAGATCGAACCGCCACCCAACAAACGGAGGAAGTCAAAGGGATCAAACACATCTAACAAGGAACCCGTTGTCTTAGCTGAAGATGTGATTCCAGAAACGATATTAGAAACCGAGCCGTTAATCGAGGAGGATGTTCTTGAACCAAACGAGCATCCCGAGCCAGAGCCACGAGTATTTCACAAGGTTGACCAAATTCCGGCTAAAGACTGGGGGGCTGACTGGAGGGAGCCAATAAAGCACTACATCATGACAGGCGAGCTCCCAAAGAATAAGTGGCAGGCCAGGAAAATGAAAATCGTTAGCGCGAGATTTTGTCTATCAAAGGATGCATTATATAGACGAGGTGTCAGTGACCCTTACCTATTATGCATTTTTGGGCCCGAAGTCGAAATCGTCTTGAGCGAAGTGCATGAAGGATTATGTGGGAGTCATTCATCAGGAAGAGCTATGGCTTTTTAAGTTAAAAGAATGGGATACTATTGGCCCACTATGATCACGGATTGTGTTAAATTTGCCCAAAGATGTAAGCGCTGCCAACTCCATGCACCATTGATCCATCAACCTTCGGAGTTATTCTCTTCCATCTCCGCCCCGTACCCGTTTATGAGATGGTCAATGGACATCATTGGACCATTGCACAGATCAACTCGAGGTGTACAATACCTTTTGGTCTTGACGGACTACTTTTCGAAGTGGATTGAAGCTGAGGCATATGTTGGCATCAAGGATTCAGCGGTAAAGGCTTTCATTTGGAAGAATATTATATCTCGACATGGAGTTCCATATGAAATAGTCACCGATAACGGGCCACAATTCATTTCACAAGAGTTTGATGCCTTTTGTGCGGACTGGGGAATCAAAGTCAGTTACTCTACTCCACGATATCCGCAAGGAAACGGTCATGCTGAAGCCGCGAACAAGACGATATTGAGCAATCTCAAGAAACGTTTGAATCATCTAAAGGGAGGATGGTACGAAGAACTCCAACCCGTCCTATGGGCCTATCGTACAACCCCTAGGCGACCTACCGGAGAAACTCCATTCTCTTTGGTTTATGGTATGGAGGCAGTAGTACCAGCTGAACTTAACGTGCCCGGACTTCGCCGAACAGAAGCACCATTAAATGAGGAAGAAAATTCAGCAATGCTTAATGATTCACTAGATACTATAAATGAAAGGCGTGATCAAGCTTTGATTCGGATTCAGAATTACCAGCAGGCAGCAACCCGATATTACAATTCTAAAGTTAAAAGTAGGCCGTTCTTCGTGGGAGATTATGTGTTAAGGCGCGTCTTTGACAACAAAAAAGAAGAAGGTGCCGGTAAACTCGGTATTAATTGGGAAGGACCTTACATTATTACCGAAGTGGTTCGGAACGGTGTTTATAGGTTGAAAGACTTAGAAGACAGTCCAGTCAAGCGACCTTGGAATGTGATCAACCTAAAGAAGTTTTATGTTTAAAGCTACATGCATTTTTTATGTACATGAACTACGGTGTGGTTTGATCCCGAAATGGGTATGTAGGCAGCTCGGAAACGAGTTCAGCTATTAATAAAAATTTATTTTATTTCTTTATTAAAGTAAAGGTTCGGCTATGCGAACATACAAGAGATTGGAAGCAAAACATTTATTCAAACGAATAAGACAAAGTGTCGATCTTTGCACACTTCGAGTTAGGAAAACCCTCCCGGAGAGCAGAACACTTGAACTTCTTGACCAGCAAGATCAAGAACTGGCATCATACAATCCGGGATACGAGCAAATTCGGAGATTCCAAGCTCAATCCACTCTCCGGGGTGAGAACTAAGGATGTGAAGATCCCTTGATATCGCAGTGACCCTGCGCTGCATTCGATGAATCTTCTTCCAAAGTTTTTTCTTTTCCAGCGATAGCTTCCTGTGTTGAATTGCGAGCGCTTTGATAAAGGCCATCGCAATCTCCCGGTCTGTATCTGGAAGGTTCTTGATCAAAGCGCATGGAGCTCGGATCTGAGATTTGAAAAAGCCGCGAAGTGGAGAAGATCGCCTACTTGGAACATCTTCATCCATCATTCCGATCATAGAGAAGTCCGGCATAGACTCTGAACATCGAAGGTTAAAATCCATATCTGCAGAAGTAAGAAGAATAGTGAGAAGTAAAGGGAAGTTGAAGCTGTAATTTATAGGGACTTCATATCCCTAGCAAGCAGCAGATTCAGCCTGGGAATGGAGTGATTTGTGGCGAGATTTATGCCCTTAAACCAATCCTGCATTAAAAAATGCATCTCCGAGAATATTTGAAGAGAAAGGAAAGTTGCAAATGTTTCCATAAATAAACAAGGGCCGAAGCCCATTACGAGTTCAAATAAGTGAAGAAATTAGAGAACATTTATGGAAGAGGCTCAGGAACAGGCTCCTTCATCGCCGGTTTAGTTTTCGAAGTGGACGCCTTGTTCTTGGCATCCACTTCGGGATGATCCCGAACGCGTTTTTGACAGGTGCTGGCCTCCTCCTCGTCTTCTTCTTCGCTGTCAGATGGAACAGTATAGACCGGGGCATTCACGGGACTCGGGACTCCTTTAGCGCGGAGATACATCCGGAGCATCTTCGGGATCTCAGCGACAGAATCAAAGTTCCGCCATTCCCATTGAAAGGGATCACTTTCCAAAGCCCGTATCTTCCTCTCCACCCGAGCGATGCGAGCCTCGAGTGTTTGCCTTTTGAGGCCCAGCCGCTGCCTCTCTTCACACAAGCGACGGTGTTTATCGGCATACTTGGATAAAGATGAATGAATAAGATGAAACAAAAAGTTTTTAATCAAAGACGACAGATATTAACCTTGTCAATAAAGTCGCAAGCCTCTTTCTTCTCCTTCGAAGGAAAGTGAAAGACGGCGTGAGGGAAAAGAACGCCGGCCGGTTCAAAGCCGTCGCCGGACAAGAAGAGTGGGCTGCCGGGATCAATGGGGACTACTTTTTCGTTTTTCATTCTCGTAATATTTCTCAAGTAAGATTCTAAAATCGTATTTAAAGAAAGCTTAGAGGTAGGTAAGCCTTTATTTATAATGGTTTAGGTTTTGTCTTGGAACCATAAATCCAATAATGGTAGTGTACCCGAGTGGTTTAAACCATTTTTGGAAATAAAGAAAAGGCAGTTATTGCATTAAAGACGAGCCGTTTTTCCTACTTTTAAGAAATAAGAAGGGAAAGAGCAACCGTCGCATTAACTACAAAAGTTTCTAAGGCCCAAGCCCAATAAATTTATCGAGTTGACTAAACCCGAAGTGGGGAACTCGCTTTAAGCCGAGCTCAGTTCTCGCATTCTAAAGAGAAAGGTCTGATCAGCCTAAAAATCTCGAAAGCATAACCACAAGGCCACAAAGGGTTAAAAGCGGACTTTGCAAACCCGCACATAATTTTAACCAAACCCCCTTGGGGTCAAAACCTAGAAAGGTTTAAAAGCCTCCTCAGGCAAATATTTTGTTCAAAAGAAATAATAAAGCCTCCTTAGGCAAAAACAAGTTCGAAATTAAGTTTTAAAATTAATGGGACAATTCCCAATTTAAAGTGGACGCAGCCACTACGGAGTAACAGCCACCTCGGACTCCGGCTCGACAGTCGGAGTTTCATTCGCCTCCTTGGCTGGTGCTTGGTCAGATGGAGCTCCTGGTCCGCCCTCCACAGTACAACCATCCTCCGGGGTGACCTCCGATGTCACAGGAACTTCGGGTGGGACGACATCTTCCGTCTCACTTGGGCCTGGGAAGGACGGTTCCAGTCAATTTAAAAAAAAAAAAACATAAAGTGAGGAAAAGGTAGTATGAGTCAGGAGCCAAGCGTTACCTGCCCAGTCTAGACCCGATTCACTTATAGGAGGCGATTCAGTGAAGAATTCCTCGAAGTCCTGCGGGTTGAAGGTCAAAGTAGGAAGAGCTGCCAAGCGACTCCGCTTTTCAGAAAGATTAGCCGATAGTTCGGTCCTCTCTTGTACCTCGGAGAAATCTGTTTCATGGATTTGATCCAACAAAATCAGATTGCTCTCATGCTCCTTGATGTCTGATTCCAGATCTGACCTAGCTTTCTCGGTTTGAATGAAGCGGATGGCTCCTTGGATCAACTCCATCCCGCGTCCCTTAACCTCCTTTCTGTCTTTCGATGCCGACCTCGCCAACTCGGAATCACGCAATTTGGCGATCGCCTTGTACTTTGCGTTAAGCTCAATAAGTTGGTTGTTCAGGGAATTAGCGGTTGATTCAGATTCGTGAAGCCTACCCTGAACACCAGAAAGCTCATCCTTGAGTTTGAAATTCTGGTCGTACTGGTCCTGCAGCTCCCCCTTTATCTTCGCAAGCTCGGATGTTAGACTGTCAACCTTGTCCTCCAGATCGTGCTTGGAGCCGGTAGAAGAGCTTAGTTCAGCCTCAAGAGCAGAAATTTTTTTCTTCCACGCGTCAATCTCCTTTTCCCGACCAATGACCAGCGCCTCATAATGTTCGATCATATCATTAAGCTCACCGTTAGCCTAGCATTATGCATAAACCAGGATGGTGAGTCATTTCGATAAACGGCAGCACAATCGGAAAAATAAAGCGGAACTAACCCGAGATGAATGATAAGCATGAAGCAAATAGCGCTCACGAATCACAGAGCGCCACTTGTCGAAGTCTGGCAAGATCGAACCCGATCGGGTCTTGAAGCATCGAAAGACGCTGACCTCTTTCTCCATAGCTGCGAAGGAGGAAGAGTTGTAAAAATTGGAATCTGAATAAGAGACAGGAATTTTTAAGTATGTGTAAATCACCAAACCTGAAAGCGATTTGACTTGAGGGACAAGAGCAGGCTTTAACCTCGAGGAAGCATCTCGAGATTCAGAATCTCCCTTTTTAGGAGATGCACTCCGAGCAGTCTTCTCGCTGTTAGGCTGGGAAGAAGAAGACATATCAACAGGTCGAGGAGGACCATTGGTTTAGTGGGAGGGGATGATCGAGGTGAACGGTCAGTCTGGGCCCTTGATTTCTCCCTTCGCGGAGAAGAGTCGCTACGGGATGACTTGTCTCTCTTCCTGCGAACCAAGTTCTTAAGAGGTTCATTACTAAAATCATCTCGGAAAGGACGAGGAGAATCACGACGAGGAGATCGCTCTCTCCGAGGAGAACGTTCGTCATGACGTTCGCGGCGAGGTGTTAACCTATAAGCAGCAACGGATCTGGCTCCCTCGGTGCTGTTATCATCAACCAGCAGGGTCCTGCTATAGTCTTTTTTGTCAATGGCGGCCGCAAGGAACGCCTTGTTTTCATCACAAGCCTCTGCTATCGGCTTGGAGAGTTTCTTACGCTGGGCAGTAAGGGCCCGAGCTGACATTCCCTGAGTTGAGGGAGGAGGCGGAAGATGATGAAGTAGATTGGGAGGACTCATCCTGAGTTTTCGGTTGGCCTCGATGAACCGATCGAGGGTGAAAGAGTTCCAAAGGGTTTCCCCTTCAAGGATTGTTTTGAAGAACTTGATGAATTCTTCAGTCGGAAGAGTCGAAGCGATGACAGCTGCGAAGTGAAAACAACGAGTTTGGTCAGTAAAAAATAAAACAACCAAGGAAGGAATATACGACCTAATTTCTACCAGGCTTCGTAGACCACTTCGATGGGAGTACATCGGAAAGATTTCCAATTGAAGCAGGAGTTTTCCTAATCAGGAACCAAGGATGGTGCCAGTTTTCATCTTTGTTCGGGAGGTGCGAAATGACGTTCCTGTTGGCATTTGGATACGCCGAGAAGTACCCTGTTTTCTTTGATGAACTCCTTACGCTTAGGAGTTCATTCAGTTCGGAGACTCCAATGACGTAGCCAGCCTCTGCCGCAACGGTTATAATCCCGAGGATGGTTCGAAGGAGATTGGGGGTTAGTTGAGGTAAAGCAATCTCAAAGAGCTGCCAAGAATCGAACTAGGGCTTCGGGAAGGGGGAAGGTCAATCCGCAGCCCTTGAAGTAGATTTCGTAAACACAAAAGTAGCCGTCGCGGTGGTTCTCCGGGGATTCTGTAGGATCGGCTATCTGTGCCTCCGCTATGATTCCAGGAGGAATTTGACAAAGCCCCCTTAATTGCTCAAGGGATGAAGAGTACAGGTGGATTTGTAATGAGGACCGGCAATATCGTTAGGACGAGT